TGAAGGGGTGGTGGGGGTGGTGGGGGTGGGACAGGGTCTGCTGATGGGCCAGCTGCGGGGTGCCCTGAGAAGCTGGGACACCGTGGAGGGACAGGGAGAACTTGAGCCAAGAGGTTCCTGATGGCGTCCTCATGGAGGTGCTGGAGGGGTCCCACCCACCCGCCACTGCACCCCTGTCCCCAGGACCCCACAGCCTCCCCCATTCCTCCCAGACCCCCGGTCATTGCTCATCACCAGCTTGCTGCACGGGGTCGCCCCACACTGGCATCGTGGGTGTTTGCCACAAAGACAGTGGTGGAGATTGGGTGTGGGGCAGGGTTCTGCAAGGTCACCCACACGCTCTCCCCTTTCCAGGTGGTTTCACCCCAATATCAGTGGGGTGGAGGCAGAGAAGCTGCTCCTTTCCAGAGGCCAGCACGGGAGCTTCCTGGCCAGACCCAGCAAGAGCAGCCCGGGGGGCTTCACGCTGTCTGTCAGGTGGGCGGTCCCCTGGCCAGGTGTGAGCAGGCCTTGGTCTCAAGGGGTCTGAACACTTCAGCTGGGGACACAGGTGGGGTGGTGGGAAGCGTCCTGGTTAAGTGAGGCCCAGCTAGCCGCTGGACATCCGAGAACCTGGGTGCTGTGGGATAACAGCTTGGGGAGGGTGGCTAGGAGTTGGGCCTGGTGGCCTCTGGGCAGGAAGGAACATTTACAGGGGCCTTTGGAGAGGACTCGATGAGGTGGGGGCATCAGCACGACCCCGCACCTGCCCTCTTAGGGGCCTGGGTCCGGGCAGGGGGCCTCAATGGCCATGATTGTGCTCCCCAGCTCCTGGGGGTGCTTCCCTCTGCCACCCATTGGGGGTCTGGCCTGAGCCCTTGAAAGAGCCACAGTGTGCGGAGGAGGGGTGGGGGAGGGGCTGTGACTGGCAGAGTGACAGTCAGTCAGACCCCCATCTGCCTTGGATGGGGAAGAGCCAGCCTGTGAGGGAGGATGGTGGTTGGGGCCGGGGGCTTCTAACAGGGCTCTAGATCTCACTGTGGGGTCTGGGCAAGCAGTCTTAGTGGCACGTGGGCGGACGGGCATGGGGCCTGGAGTGAGGCAGAGCCATTGGTGGAAGGCTGCCCCAGCCTCAGGCTCCAGGCTAGGGGTTAGGGGTGTGGGGTGTGGGGGCTGGGGACACCGGCTGGGCGGGCTGCAGCAGGGAGGGGCCTGGCCTTGGCCCCACTGCTCCTGGCAGGGAACAGCAGGCAGGGACTGTAACCTCAGTTCAGGAAAAGCCCAGGGACTGTTCCAGAAGCTGAGGGTGGCAATGAGAAGGGGGATGGATGGCGGGAGCCTGGCACCCCCCAACAGCAGCTGGTCCGCCCTCCAGGCGCCATGAGGAGGTGACCCACATCAAGATCCAGAACACGGGCGACTACTACGACCTCTATGGAGGGGAGAAGTTTGCAACACTGGCAGAGCTGGTGCAGCACTACACGGGCCAGCATGGGGGCCCACTTCGCGAGCGCAGCGGGGCCCCCGTGGAGCTACGGCACCCGCTGGGCTGCCAGGACCCCACATCAGAGCGGTGAGCCCCGGCCAGGCATCTGCGTGTCTGTCTGCATGCGTGTGCATGAGTTTGAGGGGCAGTGTCTGCTGGGCATGGCTTCATGATTGGGGACAGTCCAGCAAAGCTGAGGGTGTGTCCTGCACCCCCTCGGGTCCTGAGCCTCATTCCTCCAAGTCCAAGTCTCTGGACACAGGGGTGCAGGGGTGCAGGAGTCCTGCTCTGGTCCCACCGTGCATCTGCCAGGGAAGGGGGAGATGGTTTGGGGAGGCCACCCTGCCCCTCCTTTCTGAGGACCAGGCTGCCCCCTGGTGGCCTCCCCGGGCCCTGCAGAGCCCGCCTGTCCTGCCTCCCACTGGCACCTGAGTCGGGGGTGCAGTCTGGCCCCCAGGGCTGCTGTCTCCAAGCCTTCTGCTTTGTGTGGGTCTTTGTCCATCACCTGGCCAGGCCGTGGCCCCCAGCCTCACCTGTGCTTGCTTCCACTCCTGGGCCAGCTGGTACCATGGGCACCTGTCTGGCAAGGAGGCCGAGAAGCTGCTGATGGAGAAGGGACGTCCGGGCAGCTTCCTGGTGCGAGAGAGTCAGAGCAAACCCGGAGACTTTGTGCTGTCGGTGCTGACTCAGGAGCTGGACAAATTGCAGGGCGTGGACCGCCGGGCCCGGGTCACCCACATCATGATCCGCTTCCAGGTGGGAGGTGGCAGCAGGGTGGGGAGTGCCTCTGGGAAGGGCTGGTGGCCGTGGCCAGGCCCCTCACTGCCGCCCCCACAGTCAGACGGGAAGTACGACGTGGGCGGTGGAGAGCGGTTCGACACCCTTCGAGAGCTGGTTGAGCACTACAGGAAGAACCCCATGGTGGAGAAGTCAGGGGCCGTGGTGCACCTCAAGCAGGTGTGCCCCCGTGCATGTCAACCCTGGATCCAGAGCGGGCATCTCCCCATGCGTGGGGGCAAGGGAGGCCGGCACAGCCCCATCCAGGAAGGCCAGGGGGCGTAGGCTGGCGTCAGCCAAGACTTCCTGCAAGGGGGCTCCCGGGAACCTGAGTGGCCGAGGGGAAGGGGGACGTATAGCCCCAGCTGTGGTGGACCTTCACACGAGACCTCAGTGACTTTCCCAGATGAGAGCACCAGGCTCGGGGCAAGGGGCCACGTGGAAGGGTGTGGGACCAGGGCAGCTGTCCCCAGGGGAGGACTGGGGTCGCTGGACTCTGGGCCCTGCTAAGCCTCAACTCAGGCCTCTCACTGCCAGCCCCTCAAAGCCACGAGGATCGCTGCTGAGAGCATCGAGAGCCGTGTGCGGGAGCTCAGCGCAGCCGCAGACGCCAGCGAGAAGGCCAAGCAGGGCTTCTGGGAGGAGTTCGAGGTGCTCCCCGCCTCTGCCCGTCCTGACTCCCGTCTCTGGGGCTGGGGCCCTAGAGGGGTGTAGGGGCAGGGAAAGGGGCTCTGGGGCGGGGACTGAAGGCTCCATTCCCTCCAGATGCTGCAGCAGCAGGAGTGCCGGCTCCTGTACCCCCGGAAGGAGGGACAGCGGCCAGAGAACAAGCCCAAGAATCGCTACAAGAACATCCTTCCCTGTGAGGACCATGGTGGGGCTGGCGTGGGGCCTGGCTCCACTCGCCACATGTACATGTGGGGGCCCATCTGTTGGGGTCTGGGGGTGCAGGGAGTGCGTCTGCCATCACTGATGTACGTCCCCTCTTGCACACCCCGAACCCCTCCTCCCCCATCTCCGCTCACCATGGGGTCCAAGGGCAAGAGGCAGGTGGGGCCCACGAGCTTCTGTCTTCCCTGTGAGACCTGAGCCGCATCTCCCCTCCCAGTTGATACCACCCGTGTCATCCTGCGTGACGTGGACGACAGCGTGCCTGGAGCCGACTATATTAACGCCAACTACATCAGGGTGGGTGTGCCAGGGAGGCAGGTGTGTGTGGCATGCGACTGCGTGACCCCACCGTTGACCAGTGAGGACATCTTAAACTTCGGGAGCCTGAAGCTCCTGCTGGCAGGTCCAGGAAGAGCCAGAGTCCCAAGAGACCATGGGCAAAGTGTGGACCCTGGCAGGGCAGTAGACATGGGGGGACGTGTAGGCGGCAGTCCCCCAGGGGTCCTCAGAGGGCTGGTCTGAACATTGGTCCTAAGCCCCTTCCTGGCCTGGAGTGTGAGGAACTGTGTTTGAGCTGCCTGGGGCTATTTTGCATAACATTTGCATAACTTGTGCCTTTCCTCCCAGCTTTAGTTGCTGGAAACTGCAGGTAGTTGACCCCCACCCCTTTTCAGAGTGACCCAGAGGAGAAGCCAGGCCATGAACGGGGCAAGGTGTACATTGCCACACAGGGCTGTCTGCAGACCACGGTGGCTGCCTTCTGGGCCATGGTGTACCAGGAGAACACGCATGTCATTGTCATGACCACCAGGGAGGTGGAGCGAGGCCGGGTAGGTGTGCGGTACTGGCGCTCTGCATGCTTGTCCCGCCCTGTGCTGGCAGCTGGCCCAGCCGTGCCTCTCCTTCAGCTGGTCACCTTCCTGACTGGGCTGCAGAACCTATGGGACACTGGGGATGGGGGCGTGGGGAGGGCCCAGGAGAGCCCCAGTGAATGCACGTGTATGCGTGTCTCTGCAGGGTGCTGGGCAAGGGTGCTGGTGGTCTTCCAGCGAGGCTGATGCAAAGCACTTCCCCCCAGAACAAGTGTTTCCGGTATTGGCCAGAGCTGCATGGCAGCCAAGAGTATGGCCACGTGCACGTGAGCAATGTGGCTGAGCGCCAGGCCCAGGGTTACTGCGTGCGGGAGCTGCAGGTGTGGCAGCCAGACCAGGTGGGCCTAGTGGGCAATGGAACCTGCAGGGCTATGGATCAGGGTGGTCCAGGGGATACTCAGATCCATGCTGGGGGTGAGGAGACCCTGAGCTGGGAGACCCCCCCACACCTGGCTTCACCCAACACCAGTGGCTTTGGTGGCTTTCATGTCCTTCAACCCAGTGGGCACAGTCCAGACCTGGGCTCTGGGCACTGTCCACTGAGGCCGGCCACATTCTCCACATAGGCCCCAGGCCCCCGTCCGGGTGGCCTCACTCACATGCGCCTCTCCCTGGCCCATTCTGCAGCTTCTGTCTCCTATGTGGGCCAGTAGTGCCTATTTCTGTCCCAGGCACAGATTCCCTCCCCCACCCCTTC